GAATAGAATAGAATAGAATAGAATAGAATAGAATAGAATAGAATAGAGAGACTTGGAAGGGACCTTAGTGGTCTTCTAGTCCAACCCCCTTCTCAGACAGGAAACCCTATAGTATTTCAGACGAATGGTTGTCTAATCTCTTCTTAAAAACTTCCAGTGTTGGAGAATTCATAACTTCTGAAGGCAGTTATGAATTTTCCAACACTGGAAGTTTTTAAGAAGTGCCATTCTACTGATTAATTGTTCTGTAAGGAAATTCCTCCTCAGTTCTAGGTTGCTCCTCTCCTGGATTAGTTTCCACCCATTGCTTCTTGTCCTGCCCTCAGGTGCTTTGGAGAATAGCTTGACTCCCTCTTCTTTGTGGCAGCCCCTCAGATATTGGAACACTGCTATCATTTCTCCCCTGGTCCTTCTTTTCATCAAACTAGACATACCTAATTCCAGCAACCATTCTTTATATGTTTTAGCTTCTTTGTCTTTATATGTTTTAGAGTTCTTTGTCTTTTACACATAGTAAAATGTTTTGTCAATGAAAAGGCAGGAGAGGCAGACATAGGAACAGCACATAGGAGCCCTTCCCCTCATCTATTTTTTGCTATTTGTTTCAGTGGTTCTGGCATCCCAGAGATGCATCAAGAAGCTGCCATCTCTGGACAGAGGAATTCTAGGAAATAAAGCTAAGGTCCATGAATGGTGCTTCACTTTAGATTGCATCAGATTCCTCTTTTTATTGACTTCTTTTTAATTTAAAGGACAGGTGGTGAACCTGGTGGGTACTAAGGTGGGAGGTTTGTCTTTGTGACAAATCAGCCATACAACAGGTGCATCGAGATGAATCCCATCTACAGGTAGGTCTCGATCTGTAACAATTCATTTAGTGACCATTCGAAGTCGCAATGGCACTGAAAAAAGCAACTTATGACCATTTTTCATACTTGTGACCATTGTGGCATCCCCGTGGTCATGTGATCCAAATTCGGATGCTTGGCAACTGGCATGTATTTATGACGGTTGCAGTTTCCCAAGGTCACATGATCACCTTTTGACAAGCAAAGTCAATGGGGAAGCCAGATTCATTTAATAACCGTGGAAAGAAAGGTTGTAAAATGGGGTTAAACTCACTTAACAACTGTCTTGCTTAGCAATGGAAATTCTGGGCTCAGAAATGGTTGTAAATGAAGGGGTACCTGTAACTATTTAGAACGGGGGTCTCCAACCTTGGCCACTTTAAGCCTGGAGGACTTCAACTCCCAGAATGGCTAGCTGGCTGGGGAATTCTGGGAGTTGAAGTCCTCCAGGCTTAAAGTGGCCAAGGTTGGAGACCCCTGATTTAAAAGATACAAGCAAACGCCTAAGATGGAAACAGACCAAAACAATCCCCTCCAGCAGACTTTGCTAAGGACCCCAATTAGGATAGCCGTATGAGCCTTTGTAGGGGCTCCTCAAATGACGCCCAGTTAGATATGATTCTTGACTTCTTGACGAATGTCTCTTTTCTTTTATGTACACGGAGAGCGTTTGCACCGAGACAAATTCCTTGTGTGTCCGATCCCACTTGGCCAATAAAGAATTCTATCTGTCTATCTTCTAGACCATCCCTTCTCTATGACATTGTGGGAAGTCACCACCCCCTTCCGAGAAAAATGAAATATTTTGAGGAATATTTTTAAAAAGGAAAGATAAAATATTTCCCCTAAAAGAGAAATAAAAAAATCTTAAGGAAGACAGAAACTCAGAGCTTCAGCTCCCAGCCCCCAGCAGATATTTTGTGCCCATTAAAAAAAAACTGGAGCAGCCTATCTACAAAACAAAAGACCTTCAGCTCCAAGATGATGGACATAATAGGATTATCCTTCAGGACATAATAGGATTAACCCAATGCCATTTAGCAGAAGGCACATTGCTCACTACATTGCACAATCTCCTAAGGGTATTTCAGACATTGCATCACCCCAGAGCAGACCAAACTTCAACGAAACTTAGCTCAGACAAATTTCTAGGATGTGTACTTCGCCTATAAATCCAGCTATGACCCCTGGATAACTCCTACACGGCCCCATGGGAGTCTAACAGCTGCCAATAGAATACATGTTCTTGCACAGGAAGCTCAAGTGCAAAGCCCAAGAGAAGGTATAAACTCCTCCCACTCTCAACTCCATGTGGTCAGCTGCACCAGAATTCATGTGGTTCTGCTTCATCATTAAACCATCTTTTCCAAGCAGTCTCCATGTTTCCAGTGTCTTTCTCCCAGATTGGCAGACTGCCACGCCCACCAAGCCACGCCTACAGAACAGGTAGTAAAAACA